TATGAAACCTTAAAAGTAACACTTTATGCCCAAAGCACTACACTTCCGTTGTAAAGTGCTGCCCATAAGAGCAACAAAAAGGGAATTCTAGAACTTCAGTAGTGCTTTGGGGCAGATAAAACTGAATTTTTTCTTATGGTTTTCTAATTGTTATATTCTTGTGGGGTTCATATAGATTGCTTTTATATTAATTAGCTTTGCTTTTTTTTTTTTGGTTTCTTTACTTATAATATGTGCTTTTTTAACCATGTTTGTTAAAGATATGCACTCAGAGACTTTCTTTAATACCTTTACTCCACCTTCTGCTCAGAGAATTGATTCTTTCTGCGTGACATCATGTTGCTTTTTCCGGCTCATGTATCAGCTGTTTATTTTTCTTTTTTCTTTCTTCTTTTTTTTTTTGTTTTATTTTGTTTTAATTTAATTTCTCCCTGTCTTTTCTACCTTCCCTTCCCCTTTTCCCTTTTCTCTTTTGTTTTTCTTTTGTCTTCAGCCTATTCTGCAAACTTGGAGTTCTTGTCAGGCATAGGATTTCACTGTTTGGTAAGGAGCCCCTTGAACAAATACTAGCATGGCCATCACTTGGTTTTCTTTGCCATTTTTGCACCGTGTTGTGTGCTGCGATGTTGCATGGATGCACGTTTGCACGGCTGCATGCATGGTCGTCATGGGCCAAGATAAGGTCCTCAGGGTTGTCTGCAAGTAGCATTATCTGTGGTGAAATTGAAGACTGTAACTTTATACGCTAATCCAAAGCACACTTGAAAATCAAAAGATTATGTCATTAAAGAGCAAATGAATGAACATGGCATCTTCTTTCTGAAGGGAGGAGCAGAACGGGGCCCTGGAGTTTGGAGTGGCTGTTTCTGAGAGACTGAATGACGAGCTGTCACACATCAGCAGGTTCTAACTGCACTCACTTCTTTTTAGTGCTCCTGACTGCAGACCTGGTGTCGCCTGTGCGCCACACACTGGAGCCGCAGGGTAGACAGGGAGGCCTGGGTCGGGCAAAAGCGGCTTTTCCAGCACCGCTCACCCCGAAGCCAGCTTTTGTTCATTTCTGAGAATTTGTGTAGCTCAAGTCCATGTTCCCAAACACCTGCTTTCAAACGGCCATGCGGGGCGGTCACGCACTCTCCACAGACCCTCCTCGATGTGAGGCATTAAGACTTCAGAGCAATTGGCAGAACTTCTGTTTTACACGTTCCTGCATCAGCGTTAATAAACTGCCAAGGCGCATTTTAGCGCAGTGCTCTGTAGGTTCTGAGACAGTGTTGGGGTGACTTCAGCAAGAAAACATTCAGTGTATTGATAGAGATGCTGTGCATTCTAATCCACTCACAGGAAAAACTAAGGATCAAGTCGCTTCTTTGAAAGCCACAAGGGATAAACTGAGGAACAGGCTGATGTGCACAGTGTGTGTATGTGCACGTACGTGTACGTGTGCAAGTAGCTTTTAAGTTCTTTACAACATGACTTTTTTTGAGAAATGATAGTTTCTGGGTATGATTATTTAATGCTGTATTTGGTTTCTAATGTATGGTTACATATTAAGGAATGTTTCCCATAAATTGCCTGAATTTTTGCATTACCGTTTCAGTTTTCCTAACTTCACGTGGAAATTATCTTCAGGATGATTTCCAGTCGACTGGCTTGTGTTCGACTTCTCTTCCAGACAGGAAAATTTCTGTGAAAACTGTTCGGACAGAACTTTCATGTGCTTTTAACCTTCTCATAAGGACGGGGGTTCAAAACTTCTTTGTCTGTCTTCAGAGTGCTCTCTGCTTGTATCTGGCTCTGTTGGAGACCCCAGAACAATACCCTGTTGTGTGTCTCTAGCTTACATACTGTGACTTCTCAGTTCCCTACGTTATGTATCTAACCATAACTTCATTTTTTTAATTTTGAAATATTCTGTATACTGAGCAAAGTACACAGATCTCAAGGACAGCTGGATGGCATGGCTTGATGAATTTTTACACGCATGTGCCCGTGTTCTCAGGTCAAGACAGAACATTTTCAGCATCCCAGGAGCCTGCCTTGTGCCGTTTGCAGAGTGTAACCCTCTGCAGAGGAACTGTGTGCACACTGACCTACTGCCACTAACGTAGACTTCCGTCACCGTGTATTCATCCTGCCTGGGGTTTAATCTCCTTTTTTCCCCTCCAACGATGTTAAGGGTTCAGTGATTGAAGATAAATGCATAGTATAACTTGTCGTACCGGTCAGAGGAGAACTGGGTTTTAACATTCGTTCCATCTCTCTGTGACTCTGATATTTCACTTAGGCACTGCATATTAAACCCCTTTGCCTTTAAATACTGTTATTTTTGTTTTTAACAGGAATTTATTGGAGAGCTACTATGTGTCTTTGTCTCAAAAGCGTATTTTAATGCATTCTTTCTATTCTAGTGTCTTATTGTTTCAAATTTGCTTTGGCATTTGCCTGTAAAACTTTAAGAATTCTTTATTAATCAAACATACTGTAATACAGATGCATCAGAGTATTAGCATATTTAAGTCTTACACACGTAAACTTCGCATGTTACGGTTATAACTGGGCTTTCGACGTTCACATGATGTCCTGGATCAGGAAAAGCCCACTTGTAAGTCCTAGACCTGTAACTAAACCAGCTGAATGATTTGGACAAGGACTTAACTTTTCTGAACCTTTTAAAAAATTTTAAAATAGGTTAAAGTAACTACTAACTTGAGAGATCTGTTGCATGTGTCGAGTCTCATGGGAGGTGATGAATGCTGAAGTGCTATGTAAGCTGCAGCCGCACAGCTTTCAAATCTGAGGTATTCCTAGTCTTGTTTGCAAGCTGTTATTTAGATAAATCAGATGACAGACCGACTGCACTAGGGGGCTTGGCTGTTTAAAGCACGAGCGCAGTGAAGCCTTCATGGCGTAGCATTCCCAGACGGAAGCAGGAGTCTTGCTGCCAAGCACGTCCCTTCTGAAGGCCCAGTGCTGCCGCTGGTGTCCCTAGTGGGGCCTGACAGCATGCATGCCGCGGTCTTTTGTAGACAGGCATATTAATCTCTCATTTTCTCTTTCGTCCTACTTTTCACATTATATTTTTTTTCTATATTCTGGCAGACAGTTAACAGATGATTACATGTTTTTCCTGTACTTAGTTCAAAAAATTGCTCGTGACCTAACCTAAGAATAAATTAAGACAGAAGTGAAGGTTGAGGTTAACAAAGAAATACTTGGGCTTCGTGTTGGTGAGCGAAAGTAACAGATATGGGAAGAGACCCACTGACCTTCCGCATGTCAGGAGGGTGGGGTCGGAGACAGGAGGAGCAGTGAAGTCAACCGGGGGGGCAGAATTCTTGTCCTGAGGGCAGTAATTGTGGTGAGCTGACGACCAGCAATGGAATGTTTATTCCAAGGTGGCTGTCAGATTGCAGTTAAATGCCCAAACCTCATCTCTAGTTCCAAGATTTTTTCCAATCTGTAAAACGAGGATTCCCAAATCGTGGACTTCTGTATTTGTATTTATCTTTTATCTACTTTATTTTCTATACATTGAAGCACACTAAGAACTAAAGAGATTAATTATGTTTTTATGCCTCATGAATTCTTTTTAAGGTGTTTAAATCACTTCATTTTATATTGGAAAAAGGTGGGATTTTTTTAAATGAGGAAGGAGCCACATTCCTTAGAGAACAGTAGTTCTGGTGTCTCTATTAAAACATTTTATGGGAAAAAATAGTAAGGAAGATAGTGTCTGTGTTATATGTAGACGTCCCACTGAACTCTGAAATGTTTGCTGGTGATCACAGGTCGGTGCATGCCTGTATTTTGGAAGGTCAGTTAGGACTGGATGACCCAGGCAGGTTGACGAAGGAGAAGGACATACCTTTTTCAGGGACACATTGTGAGCAACAAAATATTGCTTTTAATCCCACCACTTCCCCTGCCTTTGCTAGATGGAAATTCTGGTTCTCTAACTGCCTAATTTTAAGGCAATCAGAGAATACTTAAGTCCTACTATTACAGCTCACTTAAGACTTTGTCACTTTTAGAGGAAGGAGAATCTGGTAACCAGAGCTCCAGCAGGAATAGCACAGGTGCATGTGTGTCAAGACCTCTTCAGGGCCGTATTTTCACATGTGTGAATGAATCTCCTGCCGTAATGACATTCAGGTTATAGGCACTCAGTCAATAAACATCTGTGTTTGCTGTGTGTGAGGCATCCTCTTAGGCTGTGAGGATGAAAAAGCGAAGCTTTCTCTCCCTCTTCACCGCCGCCACCGCAGGCTGATGCCCGGGTGTCTCCCACCTGCCCTCCTCCGAGAACGAACGCACTAACCCTTCTCCCCTCTCGGCTGTGCTCCAGAGCCATCCCCCCACCCCATCACCGCGTGGCTCCGTGTGTCCAGTGGCCTCCCCCTTCTGTAGAGCAAACCTGAGGAGCCTTCACCTGGCCCGCTGGTGTCCCATCGCCTCCCACTACGTACCACGCATCCTCGTTTCCCAGCATGCTCTCGTTTCCTCATTATGCCTCAGCTTAAATGGCCTCTCTGCTTCTTGAGTGTGTCCTGTTCCTTCTTGTCTTTGCATGTGCTGCAATGGCTGCCTGGAACAGGATCCCAGACCCCCCCCCCGCCCCCCGCCATCCTGCACGCCCAGCACAGAGCTCACTACTCATCCTTCAGATTTCAGCCTGGATGCTGCTGTCTCGGGAAGTCCATCCCTGACCTCCCTGGGGACACTCTCTCCTGCTACTGTGATATGTCCTCATAGCTCTGCGTACCTGTCCTTCACCTCTCTGGTCAGGTCACCTGGTAATGTCTCTCTCTGGCACACAACTCTCAGCTCTTGGACGGATTATTTTGTTATCCTCAGCACCTAGCAGGAAGTCTGAGGCACACACAGTGCTGTTCTATAAATATCTGATGACTGAATGAATCAACCAACCAGGTCCTACCTTTAAGAAAAGATAGATAAGTCAGCAGATGTTTCCTACAGTGAGATAAGCTGTCAATTTGGGATTTTCTTACATTCAAGAAAAATGTAGTATCCACTTGTCTTACAATTTTGAGAATCACTTTTTTAAAATTCCTTAAACAATCCATGAAGACACTTAGGGCACTTCCATTGAAAAGGAAATGACACATAATTGATGACTCTTCAAACAGAAAGATCCGTAAACTCTACCAACAGTGACGCTTTCTGTTTAAGGAACTATTGGAGAAGGCTGGCACAAACTAGCCATCATTTAAAGGCCTTTTCTACCTTCCTGTTTTCTGGTGAGTTGTTAATGTTAACTAGCAAGCTGGTTAATTGTCCAGAGACTCCCCAGACTTACTGGAGAATGTCTACATTTGGTGACAGACCTGTAGGAACGTGGGGAATAGAGCAAGCTTTTGGCAGCACAAGGAGTGTAGTGTCCATGTTCCTTTTGGTGACCTCGGTGTCCCCGGAGCTCAGCAGGTCCACACTGTTCGTGCAGACCGCTCCAGCGTTCGCTGCAGGAACGTTGGACGAGACAAGTATTAGCATGTGTTTAAATGAAGCAGTAGGTCTTGCTAAAATATTTATTTTTCTCCAAGGTGAGTATGATTTGTTGTTATTATTTAGAGAGTTGTGCTATTGTATGAGAGTTGGTAACAATGGTTTTAAAAACCCAGTGTTTGCTGTCTGTTGTTAGATTCAGGTGTGAGCTGTGATTTTCATCCTGTACCTTTTATGCTTGCGCACACACACTGATGCAAACACACAGGTCTTAAATAGGCACTCCTTAAGCATTTGGAGGAAGTACCTTGAATCTTGAAAAAACTAAGTTGAAAGTATCAAACTTTTGGTTTTTATGCTACTCAGAGCAGTTAAGAAGTTACAGATAGTAAAGAACACGGAAATACAGTCATCACTGTAAAATTTTACCATCTCCCTGCCCTCTGACTGGCCTTCCTGCTCTCGCTGACAGGTGACTGGTGTTTCGGTTGTGTGCTCTGGCTGGCCTCGAGAAGGGCTGTGTTCATAGTCCTATGCTGGTTTTCCCTCACTGCGTGCTGTGTCTCTTCAAGACTAGCCATCAGTTCAGGCTTTTACACGTGCCAAGAACACTGGTGCTTTTGCTTGGCCTACACATGAGAATGCTGAGGATTCAGTTAATACTTTCTCCGCACCCCTTAGGGTCCCTTCGCACCATTTTTACAGTGAGGTGCCTCCATTTGGAGCTATCCTGTACCTGACCTGGGGTGTGCCGAGGTGCGCAGATGAATGAGCTCATGGGTGTGTGCCGTGAGCCATCACAGAAGTCTCACACGCACCGGACACGTTTTCATCTGACCCACAGAACGTGTCTGGCCACCGATGCCCCTTCCTCTTGGTCTCACTCACTTCCTGCCGTCAGCCACGAACACTTCCCTGAGCGCCTGCTTGTACCAGGCACTCTCCGGGGTGCCGGGCTGCACCTCACGAGCTCCTACAAATGGAAGTTTAAACCACCCGCCTCCTTTGGGAAAAGGCCTGCGTAGGCCCAGTACAAAGTACAAGCGCCGGTCATCCATATGAAGGGACAGTGGCACTGTGGCTTTTTGGAGGAGTGTGGAATCAGTCTCTCTGATTTGGTGCTAAACTCGGTTTCATGAGACTCGTTTGCACTCCTGTGTCCCCTCTTCCTCCTGGGCCTTTCCTCTTTCATTTTCTGTGTTGCAGCCTCCTCAGCTGTTCTACCTCCACACAGTGGAGACTCTGGGACCTTTCTGCCTCTGTGTTTATGCTCATGCTAGCTAATTTCATTCAGGTCCGTGATTTTTAAATTATCCATATGCTTACAAAGCCCACATTTGTAGCTCTAACTCAGATCTCTTCTCTGCACTCTAGATTTTTGTCAGTTGTCTATGCCACGTCCCTGCCTGAATTAATAGGCCCACCACACTTAGCCTGTTGAAAGCACAAGACCCAGCCTCCCCTCCGTCCATGTTCTGGACCCCCCGGGCTCTCTCCACATCATTAAATCTACCAGCATTCCCCTACTGCTCACCCACGGTTCCTCACCCAAGTGGTCACAGAGTTATCCTAGTCTCCTCTCCTTCCCACCAACTTGCAACCCATAAGCAAAAACTTAACATACATTCTTAATTTCTTCACTGCTAACATCCTAACCCAAATTCACCACAATCCATCCATTCGTTCTAGACTCCTGCACTAGCTTCCACTCTCGCCCTTCCAGAATTGGGCACATTGGAATTACTCCTTTTAAAATATAAATAAGTGCACATCCTGTTCAAAACCTAAGAATGTCCTCCTGCTGCACTCAAAAAAAAAAGAAAGAAAAAAAATCCAAAGCACTTGCTCTGGCCGCAAGGCTCTAGAAGCTGGTTCCCATCCTCTCCACCTCACACCCTCCTCCTTTCCCCCGAACCTACCCACGTCAGCCATCTAGCCGTCCTTCCCTGGAACGGCAGGTGCATTTTCTGCCCCGGAGCCTTTGCGTGTGCTGTTTCCGCCGCCTGGGCCCTTCTCCCAGATGTACACGCGGTTTGTGCGTACGCTTCCTCAGGTCTCTGCCCAGATGTCACCTTCTTGGGGAGGGCCTCGTGACCACTCACCCTACTGTTCTGTCCAGTTGCTCTCATCCCTCTCCCTTGCTGTATATGTTTTTACTGTGGCCGGACGTTATGTGACATACTGATTTCTGTTTTGCTTAATAGTTCATTGTCTGTATCCCCTATTAAAATGCAAGTACCCTGAGAACCCTGGGAGCTTAAGAGTGCCTGGTATTTAACACGTGTGTATTGAGTGAATGAGCATATGAGTAATACTCCTAAAGGCTACAGGAGAAGCCCTTGCACTCCCACCAGCCAGTAGACAGGGACATAAATTTCAGCCGGTCTCCTCTTCATTGTTACCAGAAGTTCTGAAATTTAAAGCGCAAGATTAAGGGACATTTGATGAAAAAACTCAGTCTCAACAATGAATGCCTTCATGTTTTTCTTTCTTGCATCACATCACTAAACTGGTGTGCCCACATTCTACGGCAGTCATTAGTTTCCCTGTGTATTTAATTCATTCACTTTAGGGTACTTTTGTGTATAAAGAACACAACATGCTCAAGTGTTTTAAAAACTGACATGCAAATCCTGGTTGTTAACCTAAGGACTCAGGCAGTGGCTGTGTCTGAAACGCAAAGGACGGCATGGAATGAGAAAGTCAGGGTGTCAGACCATTGTGAGTGGTCCAGTCACTTTGTTTCTTCAGATTCATGTTTTATTTTATTTTCTGTATCCTTATCACAAAGTAAAATATATGTGTTCATTATGTAATCCTATTTCTGTACTTCATGATAAACTGTGCCAATCAAAATGACTGAACTTCGTTTTATTTTTAAGAAGAGTCACCCCTGTTTCAAATACCTCAAAAAGGTAACATTTAGCTTCTTCAGCCTCTGATGCTTTTTACACAACAGTTTGGTGCTTCTTTTCCACCAAAGAGCAACGACATTCAGACAAATTAGCTCATTTCAGTGCAGTTGAATTCAGGCAGATTAATTCATCCTAATGCAGTTGATGCAATAAGGAAGCAGACCTGCTTGGGGTAATCAGTAGAATTACATTTATTAGACTTACAGCCCACCTCGTTTCGTAAAGGCTGTCACTGACCTGACAAGTTGTCGTGCAGTATGACTTTAAACTCAGAGGAGCTGGTGCGGGGAGAGCTGGTAGTGGGGAGGGGGACACACCTGAAGAGCCCAGCTGGAACCCGAGCCTGGTGCAGCGCTGCGAGTGCTTGTTGGGCGTGTCAGCTGTTCGATGAGACATGCTTTACTGCTTTCCTACTTACATTCGCGTAACCACTTTTAAGCAGAGAAACTGCATGATTTCAAACCTGATTATCAAAAAACTTTTAAATTGAGTTATCATTATTGAGTTGTGTTATTGGCTAATTTTTGGAACACAAATATTAATAGAAAAAAAGTTGAGAAATTCTCAAGACAATTTATACAGCGTTTTGTTTCCTCTTTAGGAAATGATGCAACATCAATTGTCAACTGTCTTCATATTTTGGGTCAGACTTTGGATGCAAGGTAAATGACTGTATTTTTACTTAAATCAGTGAGTGTAACAATGATATATAGGAATATTAAGAGTGCTTTGATTTTATTCTTTGGAATTAAAGATGTTGGTGTAGACAAAAAAGTGTTTTGTAAATTAGTAGTACAATAACATTGTATTATTTTTATGATCATTTGTAGATTGTTATTTAAATTTCAAGTAAGTTCTGTAATTGAGGGTTGAATTGGGACAATACTGTGGGGAGTAAAAACGAAGAGCTCCACCTCCAGAGGTCCGCGTCCAGGCGTGGTCATGCTCCGCGTCGGGAACAACGTTTAGCTTTACAGAAGACACAAGGGTTGTGTTCTGAGTTTACAGATGAGAAAAGAGCAGTGTGAGGTCTCACAGTAGGTGTGGAGGTAGACCAGCTTCCAGGTCTGGGCGCTTCCTGCTCTGCTGCCAGCATGGCCGGAAAGCCCACGCGAACCCCATTTGGTTAGCACGGTTGTTTCAGCCTTTAAGCCACACATGTAACTCAGTTACTGTAAGTAAAGGTTCCTGAAAGTCTTCTACAGAGAATATTCCATGGTGCTCTCGATGATTGATTTTTGTGTTTAAAATTTCATTTGAGGTGTTTTATATAATAAATGAAGAAAGGAGATGCTATTACATGCCTCCATTTTCTGCCAGAAGTAGCGGCTTTAGCATGTCACCTCTGCACAGGCTCAGTCCCCAGAGGCTTGTATAGAAAAGACTTGATTGCTGCCCTTACAGTGAAAAACAGCTGTCACTTGGTGACTTGGTTTGGCCGGCACTAAGTGTTTCTTTCCCACCCGTTACCTCAGAAAGCATTCTAGTTTTGTTGGATTTGGGATTAGCTAGACTGGCTCAGGAGCTGTGTTTTGTTAGTTGTCAAATAGTCTCAGAACTTAAGACCACGGGTGGAACACGTAAAGCATCAGGTCTGCCTTTTGCTCCGAGGTCCTGACTACATGGACTAGGAAGGCGTTTAGGAAGTTTACGCATTTGCAGAGTCATGTTGCTGTGAGCTCAAGTACACAGGAAAAAATAGTTAGAAAGTGGGTTTTAAAAATCTGGTTGCCTGGACGTGGCCGTGGACGAATAGACGTCGTGTAGAAGCCGGTTTCGTTTGTCTGCTGCTTGCCCCTCCCGAGGCCCGCGTCCTCCCTTCGGTGTTTGCATCCTAGGACCGTGATGAAGACTGGCCTGGAGAGTGTCAAGAGCGCACTGCGGGCTTTCCTGGACAGTGCCGCCGAGGATCTGGAGAAGACGATGGAGAACCTCAAGCAGGGCCAGTTCACCCACACCCGAAACCAGCCCAAAGGTGTTACTCAGATTATCAATTATACCACGGTGGCACTGCTGCCAATGCTGTCGTCCCTATTTGAGCATATTGGCCAGCATCAGTTCGGAGAAGATCTGATATGTATGTAAACCTGTTACTCAGAGTTTCATTACCTAAATAGTACAGTCGAAAGTTGTAACAGCGCATCTAGGTTGCTCAAGCGCTGCTTTTACCTTCGCGTGCTTTTTATTTGTTTTTGCAGAACCTCGTAGGGTGACATTTGAGTTACAGGCGTTTGAGTTTCTGAGTCACGCGGGTTCAGAAGGGACCAGGAGGTGGTGGTTATGGACAGCCACCTCCACGTTGTTGAAATACGAGTCCCAGATTTTTCTGTTTCTGTGGTGGCTCTTTCCATGGACATTTTCTAAGGCAGTGTCACCATACGACCTGCAGCATTAAGTGGTTTCAGGTTATTTCTGAGTCGATGCAGGTTGTCTCCACAGGCAATCCCACTGATAAGTATGAAGAGACACTCGAGACGAAGTCTGTGCCTCAGTAACTGATCTCCTGGGGTGGCTCGGACATCCTGTGTTTGCAGGGTTCTGTCTGTTTTCATAGGGGGCTTAATCAGCTGTTTGGGGCTGGGATTCTGTAGCTATTAAGAATGTCGGCAGGGTGCCCAAGGTAGCTGGGAAAACCGGCAGGACCTGGTCTCCTGCGCTGCTGCTGGTATGAATGCAGGAGAGGACACGAGCCCGTGCCGGGCAGTCACGTGCGTCTGGCCCGCACACGCTCAGTGTTGTAGGTCTCCCGGGCCAAGTGCCACTCTGTGTGAGCACACTGCGTTCCTCTGAGGGGCCCGACCCCGAGCGGCAGAACACTGACATTGATGTTGACACTCCTTGGTTCAGCCGTGGGAGCATTGCTCGCAGCCCCACGTGGACGTAGAGACAAATGTGGGGAACGAGGGAGGTTCCCCTACTCACATCATGCTGTGTCCTCCGGGGAGGGGTGGCCCAGCTGGAGTTAGAAATCCAAGGTTCTTGGATTCCTTTGCCTGTTGAACAGATTTTATTGGACCAAAGATCATCTATAAGGTTTATTTGATTTTCCAGCTTTAAAAAACTTCCCTTATGCCTGGAATTTCAGGTCGTTTCAGAAATCACTGACATACCCCATTCTCCAGCATTACTGTTGTTCATTAGAGACTTAAAGTAAAAGGCAGTCTTTATATACCTTTGAAGCAGGAGTCAAACTGACCTGTCTTCCCAGGTATTTTTGGTCTTAGTTTTATTCTTGAAGAAATCCTTTATTCTTGTACCTGAAGAAAAATGATAAATTGTTCCTGATAATATTCTGTCTGATGATCAGAGCACAGTTCTTTAGAATGCTTTCAGCTCCTGAAAGCAAAGTTTTGCTTGAGAAAAAGTTTTAAAATTCTATTTTATGCATGGTTGTTCTTGTATTGCTTTTTTCAAGTATTAAAATGTTATTGTGCCTTTAATCTGGAATTTTGTCTTTGGCCTGAACTTTCTCAGGGCAATGTATCGATAACAAGTTTATTTTTTTTTAAGTGAGACTCTCTCTTTCCTTAGTGGAAGATGTGCAGGTGTCATGCTATAGAATTCTGACTAGCTTGTATGCTTTGGGAACTAGCAAGAGTATCTATGTGGAAAGGTAAGATTTTAAAAGTTTGACTTCGTATTAGTAGTTATTTCGAGTGTTACGATTATTTATTCCGAGAGTCTTCGCTTCATAACTTTTTACTTAGTCGTAAAAAACTAAAACAACCAGATTGACACATTGAGTTAGTTCCTTGGGAGTAATTAGACAGTCTTTCGGCCAAATGTAAACTGATGTAATAAAAACAAGTGCATTATGAGAAAAAGTGTAAAGCAATAATGGTGAAGAGCATGTTTAACATAAAGTTTAACCTTAGCGTGTTTATGAACTTTACGAAGGAATCTGCTAGTGCTGTTTCTGGTTATACATCAGAAATACAAAATAAACATGAATATAGGCAGCTGTGAAAACCCATTCAATTTCTGTCCTGTCCTCAAGGTCCAGAGGGAAGGATTAGCAGGATGAGGCGGTGTGGACAGGTCAGATCGGGCCAAGTGCCCCCCCGACCTGGGCAACGGAGATCACTGGCAGCTTCAGTCAAAGATTTCTGTGGAAGGGAGAAGGGAAAGAGGGCTTTCAAACGCTAGAACAAATAACAAGACACGCTGGTGGGAGGCTGGTCAGTGAACTAAGCGAGTCAGAGGTTGTTCTGAGAGAAGAATATTCAGTAGGTATAAATTCTCCCCCAGATGAATCTTAAGTATAATACAATTTCAAGTAGAAATTTGCTTTTTATTGAACTTGAAAAAATAATTAAGAAGTTCCTTTAAAAGAATAAATGCATGAGACTAGCCAATAAAATTTTGAGAGAAATAAGAGTAATAAAAGGTACTCATATGGTCTACCAAATATTAAAACTTCTAAAGAAGCAATAATTAAGAGTGACAGTTGCAAAGGGATAGGAAAGCAGATTAATGGGAAAAGGTAATTGGGTTCACTCGGAATATTTTTGAAGTTTTACCTGCATTGTAGGTTAAACTCTGTTTTCATATGATTTTCGTGACTATAAAATATTTTATCTGACGGACGTATTATGATTTATTGAAATGTGCCTTTATTTTTCACATATAGGCTCTTTTTTCTTTTTTACTCACATGAAGGATGCTAGATGTATGTTCATAGTTTTCTGTGTGTTTTTATTTTGTTTCCTTTATGAGAATTTGG